AATGTTACTGCTTTTTTTGCTGACTTTATTATCAGCAGGAGGTGGAGCTGAGGTGGCCTGTTATAACTGCTATGGTAATTCCACCACCAACGGTTACGACAATTCCACCGCACTTGGCCATGGTAATTCCATCACTAGTGGACAATTATGCTCTATCAGCAATCTATGCCTTGGAGAGTCATGCTATTTTTGTAGGTTTTACTGAAGGAAATGCTGCAACTTAAGAGCTTTTCGTAATTTAGCGGCAGAAGCAAATGGATCGTGGTCAGCAGGATGTGGAAATATGATGGCTCCACCGAGCCTCATTTGTCAGAAGAACGACACAAACTCAGAAACCACTTGTCATTGTACATCTGAACTTTGTAACCGGTTGAGCTCAGTCAACGAGACGTTAAGCAGACTATGGGAAAACGATACGGATCAGTAAGTGCAAAACGCTTTCCCTAGGCTGTAGTACTATCCAAAAGCGGCAGTTCAGCGGCTATCTTCCGTTAGTTCTACCAAGTCTGCCCATCAGCTGCTTGGAATGTGGAAATGTCACCATTGCCAATCATTCTCTAAGAATTCCTTGTGCGGAGAAGCACATCTGCAGGGGAGATTACTGTGTTGCTAGTGAGTAACTTTAAGCAACCAAATTAAACTACTCTCAAATCTGATTCACCGCCAGAACGTGGGCTCAACCCATACACGTATTGTGGAAGTGTCTGGGAGGGCACAAATGAGGTAATGGTTGATGTACACATTCATAGCATCAAGTTGTAACGCTTCGCATTCAAGGAGCACTGCTTAAAGCGTCCGTCAGAACCGGAGATGTGCGTTTGCGCTAGTGATATGTGCAACATTATTCTATCACCAGAAGCCATGGATGTGGTACTAAGTGAGTGAAATTTATGACGATAGTGGTAGATCCTTCTATCGTAATCTGCCAATCAGGAAAACTGCAATAAATTTAAAGATGAGGGACATGGCTAATATTTAAGTGAAATTTTAACAATAAACAACAGTATCTTCTCGCTTGGGTGACTATGACCATTATTAATTTCACAAGCATAAACTGATCTACTCTTAATATGGTTCAATATTCAATTAGAATTTTAGGACCCACAATGGGACCCACCATGGGACCCACCATAGGACCCACCATGGGA